AGGAAACTAAGAGCGGCACAAAAATAATAAAACAAAGTAACAATAATATTTTAAAAACAGTAGAATGAATTGAAGGTATAAGATGGTCACTACGAGGACTACAGGTGAGGATCTATCATTTAATGGCAACAAAGCAAAAATAGCAACTTGACTACTGTAAATTGGAAACACATCTGGAATAAGGCAATTCAATTGGATGAGCTGAGTCCTTGAATTCACTTTTCATCATCAATTTGGCCATGATCTCATTGTAACTGGGGCACTGAAGGAGCTAATGAGTAATGTTCTCCACTTGACCAGCATCCCAGGGACATTTATTTATGTGCAAGGAATGCAAATAGGATTCAACTTTTCTAGTGAAGAAAATAATAAAAAATTGAAACTTCTCTTGCCTAATCATTTTGCAAATACCCAAAAACTGCTTTTAAGACACCTACTTGAGGTCTTGAGAAGGTTCAGCTCTGATATGGGGAGTTTCCACAGAATGCTCAAATACAGCTCCTTCTGTGCCTACAACAAATACATGAATAGAACACAGGATAGTTACATTTCATGTCAACATTTCATTTGAAAAGTAATGAAACCCCCTTTCTGAAAAAACAATTAATAATAAGGTAAATTAATATTTATGAGATTTATTTCAATGAAATTTATTGTAGAAGAATTTTAAGACAGTGCAACAACACATGAAAAAGTTTTAATTAATCTAACTAAAAGTAACAGCCTTGATCTATAGGCCTGTACATTGGTAAAATTAATTGACACTTGTTCCATTATTTCCACAGAAGCAGGAGGTCCATGACAAAACCTGCTCAGGTATCTACTTTTTCTGCAGTTTTGTAAAAAAATCCTTTCCTTTCATGGAGCTATAAATCTACAAAGTATATGGCTGTTGAAAACAATGACTGACTTATCTTCTTAATAAGTGCATAATATTTATACTTATTTAGAAATGTACTGTATAAAAACCCTTTTGCACCCAAGCCTGGCTCATATTCAGATCTTCAATATATTATAAAATGCTTAAGTGAAGATAAACAACTAAAAGAAAATGTTTTTGGTGTAAAATACAAATTGATTAAATGTTTTACAATAAAAACTATTATCTTACATTATTATTATTTTTTCTCTTCTAACAATCGGAACTCTCCTTCTTACTACCATTTAACATGCTTTAGAACAGTGGTTCTCAATCTTTTTTTTCCATGGTCCCTGTTTAAATACCTTTTTTGGCCATGGACTCCCAAGACTTAACTCAAGATTTAAATCATAAAATTTCTTCAAGCCTTCATAGATTCCCTGTGATGACATTGTGGCCCCCCTGGGGATCTGCAGACCATAGTGAGAACCACTGCTCTAGAAGATTGTTGAAAAACAATCACTGATAAGTAACAACCATCTATTTTCAAGCAGGTAGAAAGCAGATTAGAAGCGTTGTGGCAGCGTTCCAAATACCATGCAGAATTAAATCAGAGTCAAAGGCAAAACTATGCTTAAAGTTCCAATTTAATAAGGCAGGCATGTTGGCATCATGCTGTGGGGATTCCAACTCTGGAAGTTACATCAGAATCCCACCCAGTTAAAAGTTCATGATCTTGCCCCCACACCCACAGTCCATCACATGGTCCAATCTTCTTCTTCTACGCCTAACTGCTTCCGGTCAGGTGTAAAGGTTTGGGAGACAAAAGATGACCTTGAGCTTCTAGGAAGGAATTTTTTTATTTTGAAAACAACACATTCTACCCCTTGCTAAATCCCCCCCTTAATAAGAGTGTGGCAGGCCAAAGATTCTTAAAGGAACCGCTGCAGGCCTGACACATTGTTTTAATGTTTGTGCCAAACTAGAATTTGCTTTTTTGTTTGTTATTCAGAAAAAGCATGTTTGGTGCTCATTAACCATAATTTTCTCTCACCCAAGAACCCACACTAAGAACAAATGATCATTAAAAAACCTAAACGATTCTTTCACCTATACAACGAAAGGGGAAGACAAATCACACAAGCCCAGCAATTCATAAGGCTTGTTTCTACTTCTCAGAGCTAGATTTTCCTCATGGCTGAACTGAAAGCCACTATCTATTTTTCATTGGTAAATATGAGTTTTCCTCTCTCCATTATGAATCCATATCCTGCCTCTGTTGCCTGTTTCACCTGATATACACTAAAGATGTGTAAGAATGACCTTGTGAATTGAGTTCAGTTACAGCTCATTTGGTCCAATAGAGGTAGCTTAACCCTTAACCTAAACCCATAGAAGGAATGTGGGCAGAGCAAACCATCTCAGAAAGGACCCTGTCTGTCGTCTTGGGCTATACAGGAAACATGAGAAAAATACTTGCAAGACTGATAGCCTTGCCAAGTAGACAGGAAACACATCTGGATGAATTAATTATACCTTATTGCAAGATTAAACTGACAGAATTTTGCAAGCCTGGAAGTACATTTCTCTCCTGTTACCAATAACAACCCTAGAAACTAGAGTTCCATTCTGAAACAATTGCCATACTTCCACATTAGGAAGCATCCTTTCTGAGACTTTTGCTCCTGCCTACATTCCTTCTGTAGGCTAAATTGCCTGTTATCTTACCATTTTCCTGGCTGTGGCTCTTTTCTCTGTCTTGCGTGGCCATTCCTGCATACCATTACATCAGGTGAAAGAGTAAATCTAACTTATTTCCACTTCTTGTAGTGGAATGGTAGGAAAATCTAATAGATATTAAAGACATGGCATTCAAAAAAGAGAGGAAAAACTTCATTAATACTGAAATAGTATTTTAAGTTTATCTCACTCAAACATTGGTCATGTTGCAGAAAGAAGTCACCTGCATATGTTTATGCTTCAGTTAGGTAAGTTTCGAGTCTACTGCTTGAATGCTAACTGACCACATTTCCCAACGAAAGTAATGAATCAATCTGTTCATTTGGCTGGAGATTTTGAGAAAGATTTCTGATCAAGACTTGGATAACACCATTAGATGACCATAGAACTTCCAATGGAGATGAATTTGCAAAGTCCCCAGCTTGATCCTGTTTGTGCCTCCAGTTCTTACCATGGTAAAAAAAAAAAAACACCCTCCCATCCACTTCTCCCATCTAGTTGCTAAATATATTTCCTCCTCTATTTGATATCACAAGTGACAGGAGCATAATCTGTGAGAGGATCAGACATGCTTCTTCTTTGTTTTTTCGGTCTTTACATGCACTTTAAATGCACTGTCATGTCTCCCAATACCTTGGGTTTTGCTCCTTAATCCAACAATCATTATGCATAAAGAATGAAAGAGACAAATCTGTTTCTTTTTTCCCCATTAAATATTTCAGTTTTCAATACTGTTTGCAATGTAAAATGGGAATATACTGTGAAAGAAAGTAAAAATTTGAAAGGGCATTTAAGGACTGGGGCAATTTTTTCCCTTTCTAAATTTGATGATTGGCTTGAAAAAAGGTTTGTGTTCATTCTCCCTCCCTCCCTCCCACACACACACACACCACAGAGAGAAATACAGATACAGAGTACAAAATATACATCACTGAAATTATTACAACCAACTAATTGAATTTAATTTTAATCTCCCATATTAGACAACAAAAAATGAAGGTGTAGTACTTTCTCTTAAACTGCCTGACTCTGAAGATGGATGAATCAGCCATAAAGAGATTAGAGATTAGAGAAGACAGAGCATTGAAAATCTTCCAAGAGATATCATTCCAGTAAAGCAAGCAATGCCCTGCAGGATAAATGGAGCTGTTTTAAATGGCATGATTCTAAAAGATATTTATCTGATGCAGAGCTCTGTGTACATGGCATTCATCCTAATTCAGTACAAACCACATCTAGTCATGCATTTGCAAATTGTCCTTCCTTGAAACTATGGAAACTGAAGATGTAGCACTCTCAGACACTGACTGGGGTAAACTACTTATTCTGCTCAATTTACCAGTTACTGAGATCTAACCTTTAGAAAATGACAATGAACATGGTTTCATTAATATCACTGGAAATATATATTATAAATTACAGTGTCGAAAGCTTGGTGATAGATGTTGGTAGCGGTGCATCCAGAGAATGAACAGAGCAAGAGGATACTTGTTATATAAACAGCAAATGAAAGAGCTTCTACATATAGCATCTTTCTCTCAAAAGGAAAACACACACACACACACAAACACACCACAGAATAGTAGCAAATAGAAGCAAAATTGGGTAATTAGTTCCTCTATTGAGAGAACTGTATATGCAATTTAAAGAGAGCCTGTTAATTTAATTACAGCATTTCGGGCCAGAGTAAATGAACTCAGCTCTAGGGGAATGTATTGTTCATTTCAGATAAGGGAATTAAAAAAATGATTGCAGAGTTTGCTGAAATTAATTTACAATAACCTAGAAACCATGTGGGTTTGCTTCCCTGGAAAAGCAAATGGAAGGGATTTTAGTCCCAAATCAGGTGGGAATTCCAGTGGTTTCTTATCTTGCAAGAATTGGTCTCAGTGAAACAAACAAAAATTAAGATGAAAGCTAAACATATAAAAGTTAAAAAAAAATTAAAAGAAACTTCAGTTGTTCATGTCTTTGATGAAAGATTGTTAGACATGACCATGGAGCGAAATGAGGGAAATTTACCTTTAAGTAAATCCTAAACTGACTGAATCATTTTGATCAGGTAGGCCAGGGGTGTCAAACTTGCATTTCATGTGATGTATCATGTGACTCCCCCCCCCTTCACTAAACTGGGTTTGGGCATGGCCAGCACATGACGCATCCAGGCTGTGAGTTTGATTGTCCTGATTAAAATGAATAAACAAATAAAAACCATATGATCTTCCATTTAGGATGATATTTTCAGGAAATTTAGCCTGTCACCCCCCCTCCCCTTGCACTACAACTTATGGATAATGTTGGGAAAGAAATTAAAATATGATCTTAATTCCCATGACAAATTAATATCATGGAATGATTATAAACTGAAATAGCTGGAAAATCTTTTCATTTTTTGTGTGCAGCTCACTGTCAACCAGTCCTTTACAACATCCAATATTTTGCAAAATAAATTTGGATCGACTAAAACTACTGAATGGGAATATATTTAATTAAAATTTCTCTTCACCTGACAATTTGGGCTTGATGCATTAACAGCATCTGAAACTTCCACGCCATTAGTGTAACTTAAAGAGGTTTATGAGTCCCTCATTTACACTCAATTTTTGCAGATCTCAATTTAGTGGACTTCAGATATAATGAGCAAAATACTTGTTTCATTTATGAAATGCTATGTTATTTGCATAATTGCTCAAATGTTATAAAATGGCACAAGTGATGTAACTTATATGATGATGTTGCTGTGAATGAAGTCCTCTCCAATTTAACAAACATTTGAGAATTACACACCTTCTCCTTCCCCCACTCTAATTAATTTGCAAGATCAAAGTATTATCATACAATTGAAAACTACAACTGAGAAAGATATGGAAATAATTTAGAAAAAATAGTAAGAATATTCTATTTAAGCAATCAATAAAGTTTTAGAGAATGTTTCATTATATCTGATGAAATAAGGATTTTTATTAGATATTCCTAGGCTTATGATAATGGGTGGGTTTCAACATCTTTGTTAGAAGTACATTTTTGAGGAGACCTTGATTCATGTTTCTGGCTTGTTCTGGTTTAGTATTCATAAGGTTGCTGGAATATTGGGGGGGGGGGGATATGCCAAAGATTGGAATCTGTCAAATTATTAAGAACTTCTTTATGAGTGGATTGCAGTTAAATAGTTGACTATTTTACACTTGACTTAACTCTGGATAGAAGATATGTGTTCACTTTGTATAAATGAATTGGATTTCTAATGATGTGGAAACTCTGAACAATATTATTCCATGCTTACTTTATTGTTTAAGAACTAAGATTTTTGTTTTGCATTTATTTTATTTTCCCCCCTCTGATGAGGGTTCACTTCTGTTTTTCTATTTTCTTTTAATTTTCAGGTCTTGTTTATAGTTTTTCTTTGTATGTTAAAAGCATTGTTTTTTTTCTTGAAGATGAAAAAGAGTGGGGTATTTTTTAAGTGCTGTCATAAAATGGAATCTTTAAACTCAGTGGCATAGCTTCGTGGCAATAGCAAGCATTACTTCTAATACAGGTACTCGACTTACAACATTTCATTTAGTGACTGTTCAAAGTTACAGTAGCACTGAAAAAAGTGGTTTATGACTGCTTTTCACACTTACAACCATTGCAGC